TTAAGGACGTTCTTATCTTTTTTGGACCCCCTATATAGAAGACTCAAAATAATCGTCGTTTCTTCTAATTTGTTTATTGAACATGGCACTTTAAAGTCTGGTAAAAGAGTGGTTTAAGCACTTTTTAAGTGGCTTTGAGTTCTGTGAAGTGGCCCTGAAAAACGACAACGTATGTGCCAACAACGAAGTGGCAAACCTTCGGAAGTAGTTAAAGCATTTTCCAAAATCTGACTATTATCAGTCTAGAAAGTCCAAGTATTGAGGCGACCTGATAAAAAATAAAAAAGGTGCAATCAAAAGGCTTCAGGTCAGCAGTTAGTCAACTTCAGAACACTTTTCTAGATTTCTATTGAAGTTTAGCTTCTATAACCGCGTTGAAGTACTGAAACTGCCCAATAAACTGGCTGCAAAGCTTCTGAATTGTGCAAATAAACTGCAAAAATCTATGTGAAGTTCACTTCTGTTTTGTGTAAGAAAATTTGCAGAAAACTGCCTACAACGTTTAAAAAACACTGAAAGAAACGTAACCAAAGGAAGTAGAAAGTTCCGATTTGAAACCAAGCGATTGACTTCTTTGTCGGTCGCTACTTCTAAAAGACAAAAAATTATTTGTTATGGTCCCAAAAGCTTTAATATGTATATCGTGGAACTTCGTAAGTCGCAAATTATCCATTAAGGCAAAAAATACTTATGCAAAATTTCGATTTTTGACCGAAAATTTCATTAGGAGTAGAACCCAATAGCATTCTTCTTAAATTTGCAATGCGCGCATTTAAAAACACTCTAGAAGCTTCAGAGATGAAATAAGAATAATTTGTTAACCCATTTGAAGTGGGAATTTTGAAACCCCAAATTGCTTATTATTATATTATGTTCACAGTCCAACCAGAAACACAATTGCCAGATCACAGACACCCAAATTTGAATCACCCTGTAAATGAATTCAATTTAAACCGAAAGTACATACATTCAGCAGGGTGTTGGTGGACGTTCAACAGTAAACTGCATATACATGCATGAACAGCCCAGTTAATGTAAAAAAGCTGGCAATTAGCAAAAAAACTTCCTGCTACATGTGGCACAAAAAGCTGGTTTATTTACCAGTCGAAATGGCTATTGTGTCCGACAGCAATTAATTGAAATTTTTTGTTGGCAAAACATGATGTTTGTCCATTTGCTGGCTGTTGCAAAAAATCCCCCGAAGT